TATACTCAGACAATTATTTTCCAAAAAAAAATTTTTGCGTGCAGAATTTAATGTTTTTTGTGCATTGTGTTGGATTTTTTTTCCTTTTTGCTTAATATTTTTTTCAAAAGCGCTAAAAAAAACCTTTTTCTTTTGTAAGACATGCTTAGCTATGTCTTGTTCAATTTGTGATAATTTAAAATTCAGTTTTTAACATCAATCTCCGTTGAAAAAGTTTCCAAAATTTAAAAGTTTGCTACTTTCATTATATTATTTGTGAAAGACAGCTCTAAGACAATCAGGTCGTTTTCTATACATTGTAACTGGAAGATCATCCAGCCTTTGGTGCTTTGAGTTAACCAAGGTCTTTTTCAGTCGCGTTCGGTTACGAACACAGCCCAAAACTTTCCAGAAAATAAATTTAGAAAAAAAAGTTTTTGGTTCATGGTAAGATATCATACAATTTTCTGTACCTATGGAACTGTATGGCAAGAAGTTTTTTCATATATGGAAATTGTATGATAAGAAGTTTTGGTCAACCCGGGCTCGTAATGGCTATCCCAAAACACTATAATGACGACAACATTTTGCCTAACTTTTCTGCGCCGGCAAGCAACTTCAAGCAAAAACAGGCCAAAAGTAATGTGCATGTTTTTGTCGCGCGTTTACTCATCAAATTTAGTGTGCATAGATTTTAATAAAAACTGTGAGGCTGGTAGACCTTCTGGTTTGTCATCCGATTGTTTTCCCATAAATCAATCCGTAAGAGAAAGAAAACTGCAAAAAAAACAGTTTACTGTTTTGGACTCAAATTTACTGCAAGAGTTTGGATTATGAAACCTTATTTTTACCACTCAAAGCCACCGAACAAATTTTGCGTGGAACGACATCCCAGGAACAACAAAGACCAGTATTGCCATCGGTGTCAGGTCGCAGTTTGCTCACAATGCGCTTACGGCGACCACAGAGAGACCACTACTACGAATCTATCGACGGCGCGACAAAGAGAAGACACGAAACAAATGATGCTCTGCAATACTACTGCAAGTCGGCCAAATCAACAGTCGAAAAAGAGAATTAATTGCACGAAGAAATGTCCGAGCTGATCATTGGCATGGAAGAGGTCAAAATTTCCTTTAACGATTACCTCGTATCATCTCTTTATGACACTAACTTGAAAGAAGAATGAAAAAAGTACGATGATGCAATGAACACGCATTAAGACCTGCTAGATAAGTTGCACCATGTTGCAAAAGAAATGAATGAAAAGTTCAATTTTGCAAAAACTGCACGCAAGAAAGTCGATGACCAGAAAAAAGAATGAGCTGCTCTCCCAAAAATCAGAAGAAAAAAAAACAACAAAAACTTGTTAGTAAAAATTCGAAAACTGCGGCCTTAGAATTAAAAGTATGGAAGCAAAAAACTGATATCTTTTATTTGTCTTTTAAGGTTGTTTTCAAAAGCATGCCGGGCGTGTTAAGTGGGGCAAACTCTCTAGAAAATCATTAATGCATTGCAAACAGAAATTAACCGAAACTTTCAAAAAGATACCGGACCCAAGGCTTTGTTTCAGACCTTATAGAGGCTATGAGCCAGAAAGAGCTATGGCGTTAATTGGATTTTTTGCCCGATCTTAGATTCTTCAAAGGAAGCTCAGACAAAACTCAAGCATGTGAAATTTGTTGTTTTTCAGACTGAATAACCTAAAAATTAGCGAGAAATAGAGTTTGGAGAAAACTGACAAAAAAAAATTTGAGTGAAATACATTGAGTTATATTATTAGGCTTGCTATGATATTCTCATTGTTATGAGAACTCTCATTATTTTCTCATTATTAGGCTTGCGGTTAGCAAGCGATATCAAAGTGGGGCATAATCATTAAATCGATTTCTCAAATGTGTACTTTTGACAACCAAGACACATATTTTGACAAGGTATACATTTTCAATACCCGTTCCACCCGTTCCAATCGATATTTGGTTTTGTGCTAGTTGAATATTTACCTACTAATCACTATAATTTTCATTTTTTTTCGCATTAAGCTTAAAAGTTTTCGAGTTATATGAAAAGTTAACAAGAGGAAAAGTGAGTGTCGAAAAGTTTAATAATTTATTCTCTAGCATCGGAGAAAGTTTAAGCTAAAAATTATGTTCCCAAGAACTTTCACATGAAAAAAAAAACAAAAAACGTGTGTGTTTTGTCATCCATAAATGTGCAAGAAGCTGCAAGTTCAACAAGACTGCTCGTATCAGGGCGGAGCCCTGAATGTTCCGACCGCCATTTAATGATTATGGAGCAGTAATAACAAAAAATTAAATGAGTTACGACAAAATGAAAAAATTTTTTCTCTAAAATTTGAATTTTTTTTGAAAATCATCACCCCACACGCCATATTAAGTACAAAAGGATAGATTTCGCTCCTTTCAACAAATCAATTATGGTTAATAAGCATCTTGTAACCAATTTGGAACGATTTCTAAGACGGATTAACTCTCCGCTTACGCGTTAATAGCGCGAAATATATCGCGCGTTAATTGTCCCAAATTGGCCAAAATGGCAATCTTTAAACCCCCGTAACTTTACGAAAAATGATCACAGGTAAAATATCTTTTCAAATTTAAGCTCAGGACAACAATACCTTTCGAATGATATAAAAAATTCCGTCAAAAATGGCTAGTTAAAAAGTCGAAATTTGTCTGAAGAAAAAAAAACCCACCCGAGCACAAATATTCCGTTACTTTCGTATCGAAAGTCGGAACAATAATCTTTTTAAATAGTTCCTGTCATGATGATTTTAGTAACAATTTTTTTAAAAAATTATTGCCTGTAAAATGTTTATATCTTGTTGAAGTTTCCAATGAATGATCAAAACATTTTTTCGAATTTTCCGGTGGAGGTCATGGCTTTACCTAAACTGTCTATTTTTCTAATCACAACAATTCTAGATCTGATTAGCGCTACTTCAATATTTTTTGAGACAACTTACACAAACTAATAATAGAGAGTTCATTAAAAAATATAACCCTTTAGAAATAAAACAGCTCGGTTCTCAACATAAAAATTGATGTGATTATGCTTTGATTCGCTTCACAGGGGGCATGAGAAAATCATTTGAAAGTTTTCGAAAATCCTTACTTCTTTGATCTTAAGAAAGCATTTGACAAATTTGATCGCATAATTCAATTAGAAGAAAACTACCTTGCTATATATTTTGATGAAAATGTAGCAAAATTTTTGAAAACTATCAGGTAGACGGAAACAAAATAATGAGCAGGGCATTGAAAATTCAGACGTTATCAAGTCCGATTTGGTGTGCTTCGTGGCTCCCTTTTAAAGCCATTGTTTTTTTCTTTTATCTATAAACGATATGCCCGAAGTAAGCAATTGTTCAAATGCTGTTCTTTTTGCTGATGACACCACAATGTATAATGCTTGTCGTGTTTAAGAAATTGAACCGCGAAAGATGAAAAAAATTTCCTTTTTCGGTTTTCAAAAAACTGGTTGACCATTAATAGGGATAAAAGTACGTATGTTAACTTAAGGAAGTTATATTTTTATAAATAAAACTGAAGAGAACATTTAAAAAAAAAGAATATTTCTTCAAACACCTAGACCTTGTAATTAATATCTATAAGTCAGCTCTAGTTTTTCACAAATCCTTTTGGCAGTTCTTAATACAATACGGTCTAATTGTGCATGTAAATATTACGTATCTACGTTTTTAGATAAAATTTCTCGTCTTCAAGAACAGACTAAGGAAAAAACTTTTAGCTATCTCATGAAAACAAACCGTTTACTTACTGATCACTAACATTATACGACTGAGTTTGCAAAAAAAACTGTTTGTACAGCTGAGACAATTTTTCTCAAAAAAAATATATAATTGACTTATCAAAATTTCCCACTTTGTGTTTCACGCAAGCATCGGATCAACTTTCAATAATATCAGAAAAACAAAATCAAATACAGGCGTCCGAACAATAAAGATTAGGTTCAGGCTTCTCGCAATTGTTTTGATTTGATATCTTTTGACATAGAAACAGTTGACGACACGGATTTTCTGAAATGGTTTTAAAAACTTTAAATCTGTTCATATCTTAGACAAAAAATATTCCTAAATTGCTGTTCTAGAAATGTTTCAGGCCCTATTTTACTTTATTCTTCTATAACACTTTTCGTAGCTAGTGAATAATTTACGCAGGTAGTGAATAATTTAACTAGTTAACAGTATCATATCAACTTAGTTGCCAAACTCGGCGTTAATAGATGAGCAAAAAATATTTTCGTTTGCAAATAAGTTTTGCGTGGGAAACTGTTAAATGTTTTTTTTTAAATTCTTTTTTGAAAGCACTTTTTTCGCTCAGGTGTGTCTGCTCAACATTTGTCGGCTGTCTTTCGATTCATAAGTTATTTATGCTTATAATATTCCGTTGTCTCAAATGTTTTTCTTCAAATAATCTTCACTCAATTCAAATTGAGACAAACAGACAAGTTTTATTTATATTTAGTTTCAGTATTTTATCTTTCCTTTTTTCTCGGAAAAAAATTGTTTTTTTTTCGAAGTTTTCGACTTTTGAAGGATTTCGATGAAAATTGGTGCTCAGAAGGTATAAAAACTTTCATTTTTTACAGGAGTTTGAAAACGGACCAGAGAGTCTCATGGCTATTCCTAATTTTAATGTTCAAAGGTTGTAAATGCGGCTTCTAACGATCAAAACTGTTATATTAGCGTGAAAACCATTTATTATAATTACTTTTTATTTGGGTCAGATAAAAAGAACGTTTTCCATATTTTTTGGTGCGAACTATTTATGGTGCGACGGGTTGCACATCTTGGCTAACCCGGGTTAAAAGCTATAGTCCAGTCATAATAAATGGAAGTCAGAATAACTTTACGAGCAAATATTTATTATTCTGTTCAGAATGCATCAATTTATAAATTTCATTCAATTTATTCTAAATTTTGATAATGAAAAAGTACAAATCATTATTCATGATATCAATTTTTTGAGGATGTTTGCTCTTTTCCTTGATTTGTGCGATTCTAGTTATGAAATAGCGCTGTGAGCGAACTCTTTCTTCTAGATGACTTCACAGCCTCACCTCTTGCGTTTGATGCTTCAGCCCGGTTCATTTTTTTGATTTTGGCCGAAACATCAAGCACTGCATTTCTGACTCTGTTGTTTTCATTGTCGATGTCATTGCAAGCTTCCTTCAGTTTTTCAATTTCAGCATGGGAGAATCCGGAGTCTTGAAAAGCGGCTAAAATTGAGAATAAAATTTAGTAAAAAAATCAGACGTTTGGTACTTGACAAAAAACAGGCAAAAGTAAACTGAGCTTTGGTGCTCTCCGGAAAAAAATATACCAGGCGTCGTTGAAATTGATTGCCTCTAGAATAAACAGCTTTGAAACTTTTTTTGAAATCTTTAAAAGGACTGGAAAAATATGCAATACGGCAACTTTGAGCTATTTTGAACACCATTACTAAAAATGATAGACGTTCGATAGACGCCCTTTCTACAAATATTTTGACGTTCGATACGCACAAATTGTTTTGTTTGTACTCCTTGTATGACTAGTGTAAAACGCAGTAGTGGGTAAGTATTTGCACCTTTATTGTTACGTCTTATTGTCCTCCGGGTAGTTTTTTTTCTCCAGACAAATTTCGATTTTTAAAAAGTAATTTTTGACGGAATCTTTTTATATATTTTAAAAAGTATTGTTGTACTCAGCTCAATTTTAACGATAATTATGATAACTTTTACAGATTTGTAGGAGTTTAAAGATTGCCAACTTGGGACATCAACGCACGATATATTTCGTGCTATTAACGCGCAAGCGGAAATTTATTCCTACATAGAAATCGTTCCAAACTGAATTGAGGCCTTTTAATTGGTCAATATTCACGTTGCTGTGTGAAACAAATCATTTAAAATTTTTACATATTGTGTGGTGAAATATTTTCACAAAAAATGTCAAACAAAATTCATGAATTTTCTTTTTAAATTAACACTACTCCTTAGACCTTCAAAACTGTCGGATCCTTGAGAAGTTCTAGTCTGTACTTCAACTTGATTGCGTTCACACTAGCTTCATTGTCACGCATCAAAACTCATTTCATTTTATGCTCCATTCATTTGGTTCACTTTGAGACAGAAAAAAGCACGACGCTTCGTTCGAAAGATTTATTAGTTTTTGTCAAATAGAAAACATTTTCACTATTTGCGTTTTTCATTAAAAATTTAAACCTTCAGCTGTCATCCAGGCAATAAAATTTTGAAATTGTAAGGATTGATTTGTGACTGAAAGCTTGCAACAAAATTGATTCATAAAGTCTCGAAAATCAAAAAATTTATGCGCTGTTTACTGAGACTCTAAGCATCAATTTTGTTACAAGCTTTGATTCACCAATCAAGCATTATTTTTTCACCATGGCCCTGGTGACAACCAATAACTGAAAGTTTTAATAAAAAAATCGAATATACAAATTTATTTCCCCAATTGGAACAAATTTAAGTGTCGTTCAAGCGAAAATAGTGCGGTTTTTTTGTCTCAAAGTGAACCAAATTAATAGAACTTTTCAAGGTCGAACTAAAAAATAGTGTTATTTTTTAAAAAATTAATGCATAAAATCTCAGTACAATGCGCATTGAGATACTATCAATTTTGACAAGTATGGAAAAAATTAGGTCAAAGATTTGGCTTATTTTTGAAAGTTTTTTCAAACAAGCATAGACAACTTTTGCAAGCAAACATAACATTGACGTTGCTGACAACAAAATAATTTTGGATTAAGTATCCATGTTTTTTGTTGATCTGTTTTTCATCTGCTGCAGCTTATCCGAAAAATTTGTTACTGAAAAAAAGTGAAGCTTGAGGTAAAACCGGTTGCTGTGCAAGTACCACAGAATGATCTTACCATTGTGCAAAAAATACGTAAGAAGTTGTTTCTTTTTTTTCATATTAGTGTCGTTTTTGTGCTTGGTGTGTTAAAAGATCAGAAAAAAGCCTAGAACTTAGACAAACTATACAGTCCTAGTAACAAAGGCAGAATGGGCCTCGTTTTCTGTTAAAAGTGGCATGAAAAAACTGAAACGAAACTCAAAATCCTTAAGTTTTTTTCAACACCGGGACAATTTTTTGACTTTTTGAAAAAATCGTTCAAGTCAGGGATGAAAGGCCTTTAATATGATATATCGTTTCACTCAATCTGATAATAATTTGTGGTAACTGATTTAGTTGACAAAAAATAAAAATAAAATGAACGGCTCGCGCATTTTGTTCGCTCGAATTTGAACCAAAAACCAACAACTTCAAACGGGTGTTTCTCGGTAAGGAGAAAGTTTTTGAAAGTTTCTAAAAAGTCTTTGAACCACGACTGAATTAGCTTCCATATGATATATTAGTCGACCCGTTGCGATGATTAATTGTGGTATCTGATTTTGCGTGGAAAAAAAAGGAAAAATACTAAAACACACCCGATTACAGTTTTTCCCCATTTTCTATAGTCGGAAAATGACAAATTTGGAAATTTTTTGTCAAGCGTCAAAAAAGTGACATTTTTTGTTTTACTTTGTCCTATCTGCAACAGAGGGACATTTGGGGCATGTTTAGAATTCATACAATTTCCGGTAAAAAAAATATCCCGGGCAATTTTTTGACAGAGCGTCGAATTTTGACCGATCGTTTGGCCGAAAGGCAATTTTTTTCTTCACACAAGAAGTCGGAAACAAATGTAATTTAAAAATTTGGCCTTAGCGTTCAATTCTTAGCGTTCAATGCGTCTAAGTAATCGTATTTTTGAAGGAAGGGAGCTCTATTTCTCAGTTTTTCTCTATTTCATTTAACTAAACAAAATTTGAACACCAAATTCAGTATCTTATTTACAAGATTACGAATTTTATGGTAAATTATCCTTAGTTTACTGTGAAACTTTGTTAGAAACTTTATTCACTGGACGCTTCTGGAAATTTCAGTTGAATTTATTAAGCATATGACATATGAAGTTCCACCTAATATTTTTTGTGTTTGCTGGAAAAATAATGTGTATAATTTGGACGAAAAATGCATTGGTTTGGATCCAGCCATGGGAATTAAATTCATGTCATTTTTGGGAAACTAGCTAAAAAATCATCTCTAATATCATCATACTATTTTTTTTGTGTTTGTTCGAAAGATAATGTCTATATTTTTGACGAAAAAAATCATTGGTTTGGATCCGGTCAGGGACTTAAATACATGTCGTTTTTGGGAAACTAGCTATAATATCATCTAAAACTTTAATAGGGGTGGATCTAGGATTTTCTCGAGAGGGAGGGCGGATTTTCAAAAATTTTGGTCGGACTTTTTTTTAGGTCGACCAAATTGATTTTTCGAGCTCTCCCGAAGCACTAAAAAGTCCCTGTTTTTTGGCCAAATTTTTTGCGCCGCAGGCAAAATTTTGAAAAAAAACAGACCAGAAAGGGCGTTTTTAGTCAATTTTTGGAAAATGTTGACCAAATAATCGCCTTTTTCGCCTTTAGAAAATTTTTAGGGTCCCTCATCAAAAATTGATATTTCAAAACAGTACAAAGTGGGGACCCTTTGGGTCGGCAGGGTGTCGAATCCCTGAATAAAAAAAGCCTCCAACCCCCGCCCTCTCCCCCCACCCTTCAAATCCGGCCCTGAACTTTCCCATCGTACCTATGACTAGAGTCTGCAATTTGGAGTAGAACTGGTCGGCGTCTTTGAATGATGACATGGACTGCAATTCACTGCTGATTGACTGACTCCTCTTGCTCGTCCCTTTCTTCTTAGCGAACAGTAAGCCAGTGTTCGCATTCAACTGACTCACCATATTCTTCATTGCACTGGTTACGAAAAAGATCTGGTTTTAACTTTGACTGATTGAACGATGAAAGTCTTATAGCGGAAATAGAAATAAATATAGCAAACAGACAGTTAGAAAAGAGTCAATGAACGCAAAGAAACCGAACTTCCAATTTTCGAATTTCATTGAACTTCCAATTTTGAACTTCCAATTTTCGAATTTCAAAGACAAATTTAAATGGCCTTAAAGCTCTTTGAATCAGGGGCGGATTTAGGGGTGAGGGCGGGGGGCGGACGCTTTTCTACCCTTAGGGATTCGACCCCCTGCCGACCCAAAGAGACCCCCCTTTGTACTGTTTTGAAATATCCATTTTTGGTGACGGACCCTAAATATTTTCTAAAGGCCTGCAAAAATTCGACAAAAATCTTGAAAATGGAAACTGATCACCTTTTCTCGTTTCGTAATTGGAGAGCGAATATCAATTGAACTTGAATTGGACTCAAACAATGCACACACCTAAGGGCTTTCATAATTGCAATACTATGTATGAATGTACGTCTCTAGGAATTAGAGCATGTCATTTTCATTTTAAGACTTTTCCTGAAAACAAAAAACATCAACTACGTTGATCAACTCTTAAAAGTAATAATCAGTAAGCCATGTTTCTGCGATAAGAAAATTTGAGTTTAATTTGAGAAAAACCTGGAGTTAAGTTTGAAGATTTTAACAATTAAAGTTTTATACTGGAAATTGAGTCTAAAAAATTATACCTCCCGCATCCAAGTTATGGCTTAAATAATCGATTATAATTGTTTTTTTTTTGGTTTTTTGACTATTAATCGATTATAATCGTGATATTTTTCAAGCGATTATAATCTCTAATATTCCATTCTAATTGATTATAAATCATTTGAAACAAAAAGTTTGTTAAATTGAAATATAATCGATTATAATTGACTATAATCTCTGTTTTTTTTTAAAAAAAATCATATTATATGGGTTATTATTTTTCTGTCTTTCATAAAATCACTAAATCACTTTGTCACACTTTGGTTCATCTGAAATAAAAAACGTAAAAAATTGAAAATTGAATTGATTTCAAAACTGCTGAAACGATTTTCCCATTTTTCGCATAAACCAACCAACTTCTATAAAAAGCATAAAATAAAAGCAATTCAGATGCAGGATTTCTGGTGCATAACAAATAAATTAGGAATTGGGATAAAAATAATCAATTTTAATCAATTTTATTTGTATCGGAAAATGGTTGGTTTGAAACGCTTGAAACTGGATGCGGGCGATGTAAATTTTACGGGGCTATTTTTTGCTTCTCCTCCCCAACCGACCCCCCCCCCCCCGCCCCACATGACTTAAGAATCAATTGCATAGTGCAAAAGGTTATGAAAATCAAATACATTCGACACTATGCCTAATTAGTCCGCATACCAATTTGTTTAACAGTTATAAATTTGGGTAAATTACCTGAGGAGAGTAATACACCAATTGTTAGTAAGGGTAGTTTTAAGGGTTGAGTCAAAGGAGTTCCATGCAGTTGGGCATCAGTTGGAGTAAGTACATGAAAAATAATACAATAGTAAATCAGGGATAAAACTAAGGTAAATATAATATCATAAATAGGGATATTATATTACATGGTACGGGGAATACTAGAAGGCGAACGTTAGAAAAGGGGAACTGTTAATAAGGGGGTTATTCAGAAAAGTTGATATTAATCCCGAGTTTTCGTATAAATTGAAACATTGTTTTACCTGAAAGTTTGTCATTTCCTTGTAAGTCATGCTGTTTTTGAAAAGTTGAGAGAAACGAGTGAGTCAGCTTGGCTGTAATGTCAAAAGTCAAGTTGAGAGAAAGGTGACCTTAATTGTTTACAATTAACAACCGCCCACATTTGCAGAGCTTGCAAATAAAGTATTGAATAAAATAGTAAGGATACGGTAAAATACAAAGATAAGGGAACCAGTAGATAAGGGAACCAGAAATTGTTCTTTTTCATCTTCATCTTGGTTTGTCTATCGTTGAGCTGATTGTCTTAGTTGAATTGACGAGTCGTAGATTTGTTCATCTTTGTCGAGTTGATATGTTGAAGGCTGAGTTGCGTGATTATTTGGTTGGTTAGCTATTTGGAGCTTGGTTACTGCGAAACTGGGAAAACGCGGCTCAATTTGACCACAGGTCGAACTTTGAATCCAGTTGGCGTTTTCAGCTTCACTGAGCGGACTATTCCATCTTGTCCAGGAAAGGTTTCCACCACTTTAGCAAGAGGCCACAGTCCACGAGGTGTAAAATCCTCCAACATCCAGACCATGTCGTCGGGTTGCAAATTGGAAGTCGCAGAAGTCCACTTTGATCGTTTCTGCTGACCTGGTAAGTACTCTCGAAGAAAGCGATTCCAGAAGTGATCTGCGAGTAGTTGGGATGCTTTCCATGATTTTGACAGAGATAAATCCTTGTCCTTGAAGATACCAGGCGGTAAATTTGGAGTTCCACGACCAAGAAGGAAATGGTTGGGAGTGAGAGGCAGATCATCTTTGATGTCGTCAGACACATTGGTTAAAGGTCGTGAATTCATGGTTGATTCAATTTCGGTCGTGAAAGTAGCCAGTGTTTCATAGGAGAGTGTTCTTGATCCGATGACTTTGTACAGGGAAAGTTTAAATATCTGAACTAGTCGTTCCCAAGAACCACCAAAATGAGGGGCCGCAGGACGGTTGAATTTCCATTCGAGTGATACGTTCAGCTGATTGATGCTTTCCACAAATTCTTTGTTCTTTTCCAAGTTGTCTAGACATTTCTTCAGCTCAGAATTGGAGCCCACAAAACTTGTCCCACAATCAGAAACCATTTTCGATGGTTTTCCTCGCCGGGCAAAAAAGCGTCTGATACAAAGAAGAGTGCTGTCTGTCGATAGTCCTAATGAGATTTCAAGATGCACAGCTCTGATCACTAAGCATGTGAACAGTAAAATATACGCTTGGTATTGTTTTCCTTGAAGGATGATGGGAAAAGGTCCAACGTAGTCCAATCCAGTCGTTGCAAAAGGAAAATGATTTTTTGATGGCAGTCGATCAATTGGAAGATCTGACATCTGAGGGTAGTCGACTTGTTGTTGCATTCTTCTGCAGGGTATACAACTGTGTATGATACTTTTCAGCATGACGCGGCAGCGAAGAATCCAGTAGTTTTCCTGTGCTATGGCAATTGCTTGTTCCTTTCCGCAGTGGGAATGTAGAACATGGATGTTAGCTAACAGCAGGCGAACATTGGGGTTTTCACCAGCGAGAATGATTGGATATCTAGCTGATAGCATGATAGGGGCACGCGTGAGACGTCCACGAGAACGCAGGATACCGAAGTTGTCCACAAACGGTGCTAATGTTCGAAGTCTACTTTTGCCTTCAATTGGTTTTTCTTTTTTGATGTCTGAAATTTCAGAGACAAAATCTGTCCTTTGGGCAGTTTTAATTATGAGAAAGTGCGATTTCGTTAGATGCAAGAATTGAAGATCGACCTTCGACTGTTTGTTGATCTTCCGTTTGAGATTTTCTGCGAATAAGAAGCAGTATGCAACTGTCCGTATTAGTCTTTTCCAGTTGCTGAAGCGTTTGATGTCAAATATAGGCTCAAATTTAGACTCTAATGAAGTAACGAATACAGGGATGTTCTCAAGCCGAATGTTTTCCTGTGAAGGCCATTGAGAAGAATCGTTCAACAGAAATTCCGGTCCTAGTAGCCACCGACAGCTTGAGGTCATTTCTAAAGCAATGTATCCTCTGGTACCGTCGTCAGCAGGATTTAGCAGAGTTGGAACGTGAAACCACTGTTCAGGTTTAGAAACGTCTAAAATTTTCTGAAGCCGATTAGCGACGAAAATTTTGTGTCGTATTTCAGGTGTTCGCAGCCAATACAAAACAGTAGTACTGTCAGACCAGAAATAAGTTTTTTCAACTTTGAGGTCAATTTCCTCGGAAACAAAGAGCGATAGTTGGGCAGCATATACTGCAGCTTGCAACTCGAGATTGGGAATTGTAACACGTTTCATAGGAGCGACTCTTGTCTTTCCTATTATAAACTTCAAAGATGTGGAGCCGTCGCTGTAGACTATTCTTAGGTAGCAAACAGCAGCGAGAGCGAATTCTGATGCATCACAAAACGTGTGAAGCTGGATTGAAGCAGGGTTTTCTTTATCAAAGAAGTTCCTTTGGAATGAAACAGTTTCGAAATTTTCCATTTCGTCTACCCAAAGTTTGAAATCGGGAAGTTTATCCGTGTCTAATGGAGTATCCCACTTAACACCTTGTGACCAAACAGATTGGAGAACTTTTCGAATCCGAATTGTCAATGGAGCCACTATTCCGAGTGGGTCAAATAAAGAAGCGGTATACTTCAGGAGTTTCCGTTGCGTAGCAATGCCAATACGTAGAATTTTTACAAACTTTTTGTTATCGATGAAGTAGCAGTCAGTGTTGGTATTCCAGTGAACACCGAGAACTCGTTGATGTTTAGGCGTTGGATCATTAGGGCTGACTAAAATATTTGGATCAATTGAATCCAGGAATGGTTTACTGTTTGAGTTCCACTTATTCAAGTTGAACCCACCTCGAGATAAAGATCCTCGTAGTTGTGTCATTTGTTGGAGGGCTTCTTCTACCGTTGACGAAATGACATACAAATAATCCATGTAGATATTCCGTTGAATGATTTCAGAAGCCAGAGGAAAGTCGTTTTTACTGTCTGATGCACATCGTCGTACTGCGTAGCAAGCCACGCATGGTGAGTCTGTGGCACCGAAAATGTGTCGTGTATATTCGTGAGTTTCTAATTTACCATTTTCTTTCCAAAGGTATCTTAGAAAAGGTCTATCCTTTGGGCTGACTAGCACTTGCATAAACATAGCATCTATGTCAGCAGATATTGCTATTTTATTTTGTCGAAAGCGAATTATGAGACCTGTTAAGTTGCACAAAAGATCGGGCCCTTTGAGCAAACTCGAGTTGAGGGATTTACCCTGAAAAATGCTGGAAGCATTTGAGACTCGTCTAACTTTGTCTGGTTTGTTGACATTTGTCACTGGATGATGCGGCAAATACCAAGATTTGATTGCAGTGTCATGTTTTGCATCTATTTTGGTGACAAAGCCCTTTTCTAAGTCAGTGATGACTGTTGCGCGGTATTTCTCCCTTAAATCAGGTTTACTTTTAAGGCGAAATTCGAGGCTGTTGAGTTGCTTTTCAGCTAGCCAACGGTTATTTGGAAGATCAGTATCCTCTTTCCAAAGAAGGTCAATTTGATAGTGACCATCTACTAAAGTACAAGAGTTTTCGAGAATATCGATTGCTCTTTTAGCCGATTTGGAGTGCGAGCGTTTTGAAGAAGCGATGCCTGTGTTTTCTATTTTCATCCAGTTGAGAACTTTCTGGTATAATTTTTCATCTAAGTTATTGTGTGAATGAACTTGTGTGAAGTTCACCGGAACAGATGGAACGGAATTATATTGCGTTTTGTTCCGACCTGTGCATGTCCATCCCAAAAGGGTTTCGATAGCCCAGGGAACATTCTTGGGGCCATAAACGGTATTTTTGATCTCATGATATTCTGGATTGTTGTTTCCGATGACTAGCGATATGCTATTGTCGTTTAAGTCCGGGTATTTAACATGCTTTAAATGTGGAAAATTGTTGCACATTGCGTTTAGTTGAAAAATATCAACTGGGGCCAAATTATTTTCATCTACCGTGAGTACGTCATCGAGCGTCATTGGAGTCGATGTGCTTTTGTATGCTCTAATTTGTACATCCACAGATGTAACTTGAACTGACTTGGTCTCATGATATCCAGATATGGGAAGTGAGTGCTTCTTGTTGACGTCCAAGCCTAGTTGAGTTGCCACTGAGTCCAGTAGTAGAGTTACGCAGCTACCACTATCTAAGAAAGCGTAGGTACAAAGTGTTTTATCACCATTTGATAATTCGATTGGTACAAAAGCTGATTGACCTGATCTCTGACAAGCTATTGCGCGATTCACTGCAGCTTTACTAGGGTTTTTTCCATAATTATCAGAAGGATCGTGGAGTAGAGTGTGGTGTTTTTTACCACAATTATCGGTTCGACAGAGCGATTTCGAATTGCAGTCAGTAAACCTATGATTCCCTAGACAGTTAAAGCATAAGTGCATTTTTCGGGCATGCTCTTTTCGTTGCTTAGGGTCTAAAGCTTTGAAGTGCTCGCATTTGTAGAGAGGTCCACAGGTGTCTCCACTAGGACAAGCATTCGAGTTTACATTATTCTGAGCACGAGAGTTTTGTTGATCTCCCTGATGGTTAAAGCGCTGATTTTGATTTCCTACACCATTTGTAGTAAAACCATTGAAACGGGAACCACTAGGGTGTTTAGCGTTTCCAGAAGAATTGTTAAAATTGTTATTGTTTTGGTTTCGGAAACCTGTCGGAGGCATGTCGCGACACGCCTGTGCGTACCGTTGAAACCATTGTGCTAGATGTCTCAAGGAGGGTTGATCGTAGTCTTTGTCGATGACGAAGCGATTCCATTCTAATCTCACAGGGTCGGGAAGCTTTGCCAGAGCAGTGTTCAAGTTTGTTGTAGAACAAATATCGTGAACAAAACCAAGTTGCTCAAAAGTGTCCACTAAAGTTAGGAGAAAAGCAGAAAACTGCATGTATGATTCTGGTTGAGCCAGATTTGGAGGTTTGAAATTTGCAAGACGTTGCAAAAAAGAGTTGACAATTCTATTGGTATTGCCAAAGTTTTCACGAAGACGTTGTAGTGCTAGTTCGTATGTGTCGCCGTTTGCACCATAACCAGCTATCATTAGTTTAGCTGGGCCAGTTACCAATGATTGAAGATGGATCATCTTTTCAGTTGGAGACATATTAGAATTATGAATCGATGATACGAATACACCATACCAGTGCAACCAATAGTTGGGATTGCCATTGAAAATTGTAGGCTTCAGTTTTGGCACTGATCGACTGAATGTAGTAGAAGTGTCGCTTGAATTAGTTGCCAAAGCTCGATTGTTGTTGTTAGGAGGGTTTGCAGCACTAGCTTGTTGTGAGCTGTGGTTAGGAACATCACTAGCAAATGGATTTGAAAATGATTGGTCGCCTTGAAATGGCGCCGAAAGGTTGTCGTCAGAGGCAGCTGTTCTTGCATTGCCTTGAGTATTGTTGCTCATGGTTATAAGGTTGTTGTTTGGTATATCCATTACGTTTGCAGTCGGCATGGAGGTTGCGGTTTCCTGTGGGAAAATTGAAGTAGCATTTTCTTGAGCGCTGTTATTTGGAATTGTAGAAGTAGCAGGATTCGATACTTGTTTTTTCAAATATTTTTTCACTTTCATTGAAAATACTCGGATTTTCTGTTTCAACTGTACTGTCCAGTGAGAATGTTCTTCAAAATCGTGTTCAGAACCAGCCTGTAACATTTGATCGTTCAGGGTATCAAGTTTTTGTTGGAATTGAGACAATTCAGTGAACGTTTCATTGATGAGTTCAAGATCATCTTCTTCCTCGTAGATGTTGTTTTCGAGCATGTCGATCAAAGTATTGATCTCCATTTCGTGATGACGTCGAAGCGAAACCAGTTTTCGAACGCCAGTCTCTTGAACGTTTTGATTGGTATCTTGCGTTTGGGTACCATTTTGTTCCGAAGGATCGCTGTCATTGTTTTGCGTCGTTTTATTTCTACCGGATGGGGCCATACCTTGAACCAGGAGACGTAAACCAATACCTACCAACTTATACCAGTATATGAATTTACCTTTACCAACCTACCAACTTATACCGAATACCACCGATGCTCGTAAGAAGGAGCGAAATAATGGATAAAGTTTAACCAATTACCACTGTACCTACCTCCGAGGGAAAATTGAGCGGTCGTTCAAAGTGTCCTCGGTATTAACAATTAACTGCGATTTTAAAGCTAGTCCAAGAACCTACCTGGTCCTACCAGCCTACCGACCCTACCTACCTACCAATTACCAGTATAAACGGCAAAAAAAACCGGGTGCAAAGATTAGCACCAATGAGTGTTGACCTCCCAGAGGACAACTGAGGATGACGTATTTACCTACCTACCTGTCGCTATTTAGCAGACGACCGAATTGTGATTGCTGACCTCCCAGAGGACAACTAAAGTTGATGTACCTGTTTACCTACCTGTCCTAATACCGTAGATTTATCCCTGTGCAATAAAATTTGCACTTATACCAGTTGACCTCCCAGAGGACAATTTGCCTTTATCGCTGTAGCGTAGCGAATGAGACGAACTAGAGTTGTTCGAAGCAGTTGATGAGCTAAACGAAGCTCGAATGTAGCCACGAACCCAGTGAGGCTCGAAGCAGCAGAGGAAATGAGCTCAGGTAAAGCTCGACAGGAAGCAGCCAAGAACCGAGAGGCTCAAAGCAGAAAATAAGGTGAGCTAAGACGAAGCTCGAATGTAGCCACGAACCCAGTGAGGCTCGAAGCAGCAGAAGAATGAGCTCAGGTAAAGCTCGACAGGAAGCAGCCAAGAACCGAGAGGCTCAAAGCAGAAAATAAGGTGAGCTAAGACGAAGCTCGAATGTAGCCACGAACCCAGTGAGGCTCGAAGCAGCAGAGGAAATGAGCTCAGGTAAAGCTCGACAGGAAGCAGCCAAGAACCGAGAGGCTCAAAGCAGAAAATAAGGTGAGCTAAGACGAAGCTCGAATGTAGCCACGAACCCAGTGAGGCTCGAAGCAGCAGAGGAAATGAGCTCAGGTAAAGCTCGACAGGAAGCAGCCAAGAACCGAGAGGCTCAAAGCAGAAAATAAGGTGAGCTAAGACGAAGCTGGAATGTAGCCACGAACCCAGTGAGGCTCGAAGCAGCAGAGGAAATGAGCTCAGGTAAAGCTCGACAGGAAGCAGCCAAGAACCGAGAGGCTCAAAGCAGAAAATAAGGTGAGCTAAGACGAAGCTCGAATGTAGCCACGAACCCAGTGAGGCTCGAAGCAGCAGAGGAAATGAGCTCAGGTAAAGCTCGACAGGAAGTAGCCAAGAACCGAGAGGCTCAAAGCAGAAAATAAGGTGAGCTAAGACGAAGCTCGAATGTAGCCACGAACCCAGTGAGGCTCGAAGCAAGCGGAATAAGTGAGCTCAGATAAAGCTCAAACAAATGTCATGTCGAAGAACAATGACGAAAATTGAGAGTCCAAAAAGAACTCGAATCAGGTAACCAAGGAGTCGGGCAATAAGAAAGCAAAAGTGTCAGAAAACACTTGAAGGAAGGAAGCAATGAAGGAAGCAAAGGGCCAAGAAAGGCTCGGAAGGAATATACAAGGCGTCAGATAAGACTCGGAAGGAATGAATGAATGAGTAGGGAAAGACTCGGAAACGAACAACAAATGGGTCGAGAAAGACTCGGAAAGGAATGAAACATTGAGTCAGAAAAGACTCGGAAAGGAACGCAAAAGGCAATAAAGACTCTGAACGGAATGAAAAATGAGTCGGGAAAACTGAAGTTTTTTCATAAATGAGTCACAAAAGACTCGGAATAGCAAAGCAACAAAAAACGAATTGAAAGGGGAAAATTGATGAAAATAACTTAATACATTATTCAAAGTAAATGAAGCTATGAACAATTGAAACGTTTAAAGTTTACATGGGTTAGAAATCAAGAGCAATAATTGATCTTTTTTTTTTTTAAATGTAAATCAAATAAACTGCGATTAACTGTAAATAAATGAAATAATATTGTAATGGGGAAGTATTATAACAAGATATAATAAACCGCAGACGTAAAAACTGGGGAGGAAAAACAGTAACCAACCATAAATTTTTGGTTGTGGGGGAATAAAAAACACAGTGTAACGAGCTAATCAAAACTTTTTCGGGGCGCCAATATAATGATTGGGTAATTTACCTGAGGAGAGTAATACACCAATTGTTAGTAAGGGTAGTTTTAAGGGTTGAGTCAAAGGAGTTCCATGCAGTTGGGCATCAGTTGAGTAAGTACATGAAAAATAATACAATAGTAAATCAGGGATAAAACTAAGGTAAATATAATATCATAAATAGGGATATTATATTACATGGTACGGGGAATACTAGAAGGCGAACGTTAGAAAAGGGGAACTGTTAATAAGGGGGTTATTCAGAAAAGTTGATATTAATCCCGAGTTTTCGTATAAATTGAAACATTGTTTTACCTGAAAGTTTGTCATTTCCTTGTAAGTCATGCTGTTTTTGAAAAGTTGAGAGAAACGAGTGAGTCAGCTTGGCTGTAATGTCAAAAGTCAAGTTGAGAGAAAGGTGACCTTAATTGTTTACAATTAACAACCTAGCAGTTCGATTTGACTGACTTTTGTCGCAGAAAGTAGGGCAGGCTTGGTTGTCTGGATTTGCTCAGCCCAAATGAATTCACGCTCTCTCTGGGCGTTTGTAGTTTGAACGGTGAAAGATGTGAACTTTTTTGAAAGTCAGGCCCGGACCGGTTGCTCATCCTAAAAATGAGGCCCGAGCCCGTCCGTAAAAATGAGGCACGTAAAAATGAGACCCGAGCCCGTCCCGTAAAAATCCTCTTAAATTAGCTAACTTTTTAGCATGAAGTTTTTAATGAACTTCACATATCAAAGTCAAAAACTATTTTTAATTGAGAGAAATAGAAATTCAAACGAATTTCATTGACAACTTGGTTTACGAAATTAGTTCAACTGATTACATAGCTTTTTAATTAAGCTCAAAATATTGCCAAAATTCAAAACTATTATATGATAATCGGTTTGAATTTTATACACAGAGGCGAAGCTGAGCTTCGCACTACTTGTGATACAAAAAAATAGGATTAAAATCAAATTAAACAAATGAAAATTGCAACAAAAGCCCACAATTTCCTGAACAAAATTACCTACGAAGTTTGAAACTTAAAAGGAGCTTTCTAAATGCTAGAACGAAACAGAATTTTAATAAATTCCTTTATGGGGAACTAAGTCGACAAAAACAATCAGACAGACAAAAATCTAAACTAGCCGAAAATTTTCGGTTTTCAAAAACAGGTCTCGACTGGAATCGTACTCCCGTGCTTTGTCGTCTCAAGGCGACAAACTCATGGGCTTTGTCTTCTCTAGTTTGAAAAAAAAAAACAGGTCATTACCGGACTCGAACAGCAAGCCTTTACCTTATCAAGCAGTTCTGCTACCTCTACGCCAGATTCGGCAGGTGGTTGATTGAAATTGAATTTATAATAACCAAGCGGTAACAAAGGCAAAAATGCAAAAGCCTACATGCAAAGGGAAAAAATTATATTTTAAGCTGATAGAAAATTAAAGCCCCGTTTCACCTCAGAACACAACCACAAACTTTTTTTCTTTATCAAACAACGCAATAAGAGGCCACAAAGTCGATATAAAATAAGCCGAAAACTATTAAGCCGTAAAAAAAAGAAATTTCAACAAATCGAGTAGATAAAAATACAAACAACACAAAAAAGCAATTTTAGATTAGTTTAGCTACTTCATAACTTACTCAATACATGTCTGTTGCAATAGAAAGGCCCAGACGCCAGAATCGAAAAAACTGTGTGTATAAAAAAAGTTCAAAGTTCCCCTGAAACTACAATGAACAACACTTCCAACTATAACGAACATTGCTTGCAGCACAAGAATCATCCGTGATGTGGTAAATTAGCCGACAAGACTTGAGCAGATAAACTAAAGTCCAACAATTCAATTTTTGCCGATACATTTCATACACTCTGAAGAAAACAAAGTCGAGCCGCGACTCTTTTTAACCCAGACCTCACAATGCAAAAGAAACCTCGTTATTTCTAGATCAAGCGGGAACGAACCTGGAAGTTGTTAAGGTGGAATAATAAATTAAATTAAGCAAGTAAGATTCGAAAAAAAACTGTTTACGGGAACAAAAACTTAGTTCCCAATTTTTTGTAATCGGGAACGAGACTTTTGTTTCCCGTAAATATTTATTATTCGAATTTAACTAAATTTTCTTACTTACTTTATTTTAGAACCTCAACAACTTCCAGGTTCGTTCCCACTTGATCTAGAAATAGCGTGGTCTCCTTTCTTACTCGCAAGTGTAATAAGAGCCAAACTGTACAGAGAAACTCAACAGAAAATAAACACAAAGCCGTATTAAAACAACTGTTGCTGGTTTTTCCTACTTTGAACGCTAAGCACAACAACCGGAAGCCAAAAAATAACGAACAAATTATCGAAATATGTATCAAACGACCTGATTATTTTTCCTATATTTCGAAATAAACATCACCAGTTGAGAAAATGTCTAGATGTAAATTTATTTTCTTTTGCGATACTTGTGAAGCAGCTCAACCCTTTACTGATTTTTAAAAAATTTCTGTAGTAATTGGAGATTCGGGGCTACAATTTCAAATCGAATTTCAAAAACGACTCAACAGCCGCAGTGGCTAATTTGAAAAATATCATTCAGCACTTAATTTGAGATTGGAGTTGTGCTTCTTTTGACAAATGAGTTTAGATAAGGAGTTAGAAACTCCTTAAAAACATACATTATAATCATAAAATTTCCGTTACAAAAATTGAAAAACAAGGCAGGCAGACGCACATTAACTTCTCACATTAACCTGACACTCAATTTAGGTACAAATTGTGCTTCAATTTGAACTTTCTGATAACCTGTTGATATATGATAGCAATGCAATACTAACAAAAACAAAATCGTTTTCAATAACAAAATAAAATTTGAGACTAGCAAATGGACAGTCTTACAATTTCCGATCCAATTATAGAAGTACCTAGCTGAAAATGATTGCCTAAAAGAATTCTTTTTGGTGTCTCTTGAAAAATCGAGATTGAAATTAAATTGAATACAGTTGATATAAATACGGCACTGCATCAACCATCAACCTTGAACATATTTGATTTTTGATTCTCTTTGCATGTCAGAATTCTCAATTGATTTGAATTTTAAATACGAGCTATCATTTGCACAAGAAATTCATTCAACAGAAACAAGTCATAACAGCCACAAACTCCGAAGCGCCTGGAGAAAACAAACGCTTAAATATTAGCAACTAAAAATTAATGTTTTTCAATCAGATAGTTTCATCAACGATTTTTCAAGTTGCGAGCGTTATGGGAGGTTTCCCGGGGAGATCTACCAGGCCGAACTGAAGTCTCCGAAAGTGGGATTCGAGGCTCCGCCAGAAGCGAAGCCTCCACCGGTTCCTCCGAATTCTCTTCGGAAGTCGGAGCGAGCATCGTTGTTGAACTCGGAGAAGGTTCCAGTGGCACCAGTGGAGTGCTGCTCCAACCAGGGGGGGATTTCTTGGCCAGCATTTTTGAGAGTTGCGACAAGAGAGCGCAAAACCTAGAACATATAATTTCAAAATACCATAAAATTTCAATTTAAATTTCATACAAACCATCGACATTTGGCTTCTCATTTGAAATTCTTTTCATCGTTTATAAATTAAAACATAGCCAATAGACAGTTGTAAAAAACAATGAACGCAAAAAAACAAAAATACTGACATATTTTTGAAAACTCCCCAACCATAAAACACTTTGATGTTATAGAACAATTTATAATACAATTAACCCAGTTTGAGAAAACTGAATCAATCAGTAAATTTTTTATTCCGCTGAGAAATCTGAACATTAGAATCCCCTTTCGAAATTAGAATTCAATCAAGTTGCTCGTGACCTTTATACTTTTGCGGTTCGATAAAAGAGTTTGCCTTCCTTATGACAAAGGAAATTTACGGAAAATAAAAAACCAAAAATTTGAGCGTATAAAATTCAAAATTTTCCTGAAAAGAAATCACCACGGCCTATATAAGAGTCTTCACAACAATCATCTAAAAAATAGAGATTTGAGGTGATTTGGTCTCATTTGCAGAAGCCTTTCAGGTCATTCACTTTTTTTTGGAAAGATGAACGTGTTCCATGTAAAAACGCAGCTAAGAAAAGTTAACTTGGTATCACGGAGGAGCTTTTCAAATTGCTTCTAACAGTTTATTCTAGCTAACCTGGCTGTCGGATGTTGGGTCAACGAACGTGATGGCGTGTCCCTGCAGACCTAGCCTGCCCGTTCGGCCTATTCGGTGCACATACTCGTCCACCTCACTCGGCATGTCGAAGTTGACGACGAACTCCACCTTCGGGATGTCCAGACCCCTGGCTGCAACCGACGTCGCCATCAGCACGTTACACTCGTTATTTTTGAACTGCCTCAAAGCAATTTCACGCTCTCTTTGCAGTCTATCCCCATGAATAGACGTGCACTTGTAGCCCTCTTGTAAAAGCCTGGCAGCTAAAAAGTCGGCTCGTTTCTTTAGTTCTACAAAAATAAGAACTTTGCTGTCACGCGGAATGTCATTCTGCAACACTTCCTTCAGTTTCTGAATTTTATCCGAGCTGGCAACTTCCAGCACTGTTTGTTTGACGTCTTGATTTGCACCTCCCACAATTCCCACTGCGATGAATAAGTAGTCCCGACGCAGCATCTGAGACGCAAGATCTTGTACCTAAACATGACAAACGTAGCCAATGATTAAGCAAAACGGACAAAACTCAATTTATCGGATCCCGGCTTTCGACAACACCTCATACATTTACTGAATGCTTTTTCTACATAGATTTTGAATCTGATTTTGAAAATGGTGAAAACTAACAACAGAAAAAATATGCGTATTTTTTTTTAAATTAATTCAACGCCGTAAGAAAACTTAGGAAAGCTTTAATAACGTGCAGTCCATTTCGCTCACGCCTCATGAAACCAACCAGGTAACTTGGCACCAGAGTGACATTTGACCGAAAGACTCGGTGGCGGCTATTTTTGACGCGGGACCAGTACTTAAGTTTTGGAGTTGTTTAAATCTATTCAATTAATTTATCATTGCGTGTAACGCACCAAATAGATCAACGAACGTGAGAACTCCTGATATAAAATTTAAAAAAACACGAAATGATGCAACCGAAGCAATAGACGGGATATCGAACAACGCTTTTTATTTCAAAAATTGAACCATTTAAATAATTTCAAATTAAAAATTCATATTAAAATTAAATAGTAAAATCTCCATAACTACTGGGTTTCAGATCGTTGTACTTATAACTCTGAAACAAAACCAAAATGGCCGATATCATAAACTGCAGTCTCCACATTAAACAAAAAATTCCAAACAACTTCATCTGCAAAATCACTCAAATCTTAAATCAAATTCTGGTTTAACTTAGTTCCCATACATTTATCATTTGCTCCCATCGTTCAAATTATCCAGCGTACTTAACTTGAAAATATCAATCTGTTTTTTTCTTAGTTTAAGTTTTAGTTTAATGAAATTTTTTTTGAAATATCGAGAAACGTCAATTTCGATCACTTAAAATTTTAAGCAAAAAAAATTAGGATAGAGGCCACATCTGCAACTGATGTTAGCAATCTGACATCACCCCAACAAAGGTTGGACAATTTCAAATTTTGAACATTTTTCTTGAAACTTAACACTTCAAAAATTTTGAATACTTAAAACTACCCTCTCTAGAAAAAAGGCATTGAGCAGCCATATTTGCAGTCCAGATATAAACGTTTTGAGAGTACCTTGGCAGTACTCCACCATACTTTTGCGAATTTCAAACTTTGCCAAGTTTTGTTTTAATTTTAAAAAAATCATAAAACGGCAAGTGTCGGAAACTAAGATGACTTCATTTCATCAGTCAAACATGGAGGCAAGATGTGCAACCTTTGAGAGTACCCTGAGGGCACCTCACTATAAAGTTGGGAAATTTAAAATGTGTAAAGTTTTTTTATTCAGTAATCGAAAATATTGGAAAAACGTCATGCCTCGAAAACTAACACAATTTTAAAGATTCGAAAACCCAAAAATTATCCTGCTAGCACCCCACTACAGGGCTTGAAAATTCAAACTTTGTGACTTTTTCATTTCAAGTTTTTTGAAGAAAAAAAAACTGAAAAAACGTTATGCTCGGAAACTGAAAGGATTTCAGCAGTCACACCTGGAGGAAATATTCGCATCCCCTGAGACTACCCTGGCAGCACATATCAAAATGCTGCGAATTTCCAATTCTATAAACTTGTTTTATTTCATTAAAGAACGCATAAAAATCATAAAAAAGTTTTCAATTTAAAATCTGAAAATTTTCAAAAATCATAAAAAACGCCATCTCGGAAACAAAAAAAACCTTTGGGCAATCAAATTTTGAGGCAAGATTTGCAATTTCTAAGAGCACCCTGAAAGCACACAACTACAGGGCTGGAAAAGTTTGAAAAGTAAATTTTAAAAAATCACTAACAAATTGTCGTATCTCGGAAACTAAAACGATTTGGGTATCTAAGCACCTGAGGGAAACTTCGACAGCATCCCACTATTGCGTTGCTAATAAACTGAGCTCAAACATGAAAACCGAAAACAGTTCTAAAGCATTGCAATACACGATATAGCTAAAACGTGAAAAGCATGGCGAGATAGTGAAGTCTGCATTTAAACATATAGTAGATCGTTACCTAATTAAATAAGTAATTAAAACAAAAACACAAAATAATAACTATATGAATGCACTCACATTCGTACGTGCGCAGGCGCGCAAGCGGGTTCCAGGCTGATACCAGTCGAGCGTTCATGTAGTTACGATTTTGTGTATCTGCTTTAATTGCTACTTTGTTCACATGCCATCAACCTAATTCATTCACTTTCATGCCAATTTTCAAGCTTCAACTAAATTTCAAACAAACATTCTTACCATGTGAAAGCGTTGAAAATTATAATATATTCGGGCCCATTTCCAGCGTAAATTTTAGTTTTCACGAATAATTTTACGGACTCAAACTCAGAGGGCTTTGGTGAGTCTCCTGAAACTTGAAAAAAGGGAAATCCGGGATCCGGTAAATTGAAGTAGTTGATGCACTCTCGAGTTGAAACATGCTATTATATCGCCAAAAAGAAATAAGCCGCACCCACATATTGAAAGGAGCAAAAAGTAGATTAAAAATTTAAATGAGGTTTTTAAAAATTGCACTCGCACGTAAGTTCAAGCTTTAGCTTATACAAAAACGCCAATCTAACAAAATTTGAGAAAGTCTATTCACTGTAAAAAAAAATCAGCAAAGATTTTGGAAGAAAGGTTTAAAATCTGGCCAACGAAAATTAGGAACAGCATACTGGATTAAAGGAAACCAAAAACAACTCGATGTTTCTAATTTCTTCATTTTGATAGAACTATCTCTTACACAGAGGCGAAGCTGAGCTTCGCGCCAATTGCGATTCAAAAATGAATGACTATGATTAAATCAAAAATTTTTTTTAATGAAGATTGCAAATGCCTTAAATATCCGGAACAACATTGGAACTATTAGAAACTCTTGTACGGAGCTCTATTAGAAACGCCGGAATTCAGCAGACAAAAATCAGCAGAGACCAGGCTTGCCAACTTTTATAAAACGAAATATGAACCTGGGACCAAACCTTGAAAAACGAACTTTATATGAACCTAAAAGAGCATTTTCTAACTTTCAGAAAAACATGGTAAATTAAACCATTTATTTCTTGACAAATATTGAGTCAATGACAACTGCAGACTGTTGATCCAATGTGACCACAGAAACAGTTCGTTGGTTATGGAGCAGTTTCTTCTTCTTTTCAAGAGCTTCAAGAGCTTTTTTAGCTTGAGAGCTAAAGGCGTCATTCGCTTGAAAACATGCAGTTCCTCTCGGAAATCTTCAGCATGCCCTCTTTTCCGTGAATTTTCTTCTCCTTTCGACTCCGTGGATTTCTTATATTCAGAATCTGCTTGGCGAACTGTCTCACATAACTCAGATGGAAAATTCAATTCAACGCCTTTTCGAACTGAACTGACTTCCTACGATAACACGAGCTTGAAATCAGAAAGCGATTTGGTATTTGTAGACACAAAAGAGTCAGTATCAACATTGACATTTAGTTCCATGGTCCTCAAATATCGATTTTTTCGAACACCGTCCGCATAAACAACCCAGAGTTCAACCCTTGTTTTACCATTATAATATGTTTCGTCGAGATGAATACCGACGAACTTGTCGTTGACTTCATTTTTCAAAACAGTACGAGCGTATGGGGCTATTCCGTGACCTGCCACATAGGTTGCTTTCGTCTTTCCACATTTAATATTAGCGTGGCCCGAATCGGGAAACATTTTTTGTACTTCCCGCGAGCACTAGATGCCGAATCACTGGAAGCGAAAGACTGGCTGTTCACTACAATATCAAGAACATGAATCATAAGTGCTCTCAATCGCTGGCAATCAGTCTGAGAAGATGTTGCTGTCCCAATGTCGGGAGTTGCAGCGCGCACAGTTACCACTTTCGTGTAGGGCTGAGTCTCATGTTGCTTTGGATCGAATCGCCAATGTGAAATCCGAAAAAAGCAATTATCCAATTTGCATTGGACTTGGTCCTGGTTCTCTGCTTTGGCCCAAGAAAACCCCTCTAGTAGAGCTGATGACACAGTACATTTTCCCATTGTCTGAAAAAAATCAACTTTCGAAAAAAATGAAGGTATAAAAAAAACCTATATAAAATAGACGCACTACGTGTAACTCATTAAAAACAATTAAAAACAAGAAATATGAACTCTGGCTCAAATATGAACCATATGAACTAGTTCATATAATATGAACTAGTTGGCAGGCCTGAGAGAGACAGTACTCTAAAATAGCCGAATATCTTCTTTTGCAAAAAAAAAACAGGTTCCGACTGGCATCGAACCCCGATGGTTCTTGTCTCAAGCATGGGTAATACAGCAATCTGGAGGAAAGGTGAACTTCAAAAAATTGGGCACGATGGACTAAGCTGACAAAAAGTGTATAGCGTGTATAAAAACAAAAAATCCTTTAAATATAGTTAAAATCGCAAAAAAAGAATTGAATAAAGCAATGTAATTGAACGTTACTAAAAACACCCGGCAATCAAGTCGACAAATATTGGGACGAATTCAATTAAGAACAGACAAAAAATCATTTTTTTTCTGAAAACTTTTTTAGCCGAATAACTCATTAACTCATTAGAGCTGAAAATGAATTAGAGCTGTTCAAAAAGAAGAATTAGAGCTGTTCAAAGTGCAACATGGGTGAAACTGGAGATCCTGTGAACAAAGTCATTTACGGGAAAAAAATCAAAAACAAATAATTTTGAAAAAATTTCGAAACTTTCGCAATTCAATGAAAAAGCTAGATCGCCTTACGATCTTTGAATTTTAAGGATTATTTACAGTTGACACTTTTGATAAAATTAATCCAAATTGAAAACTGGATTGATAAGCTATCTTTTTTATTCTGCTAGAAACTGAAAAAATTCAATCGAATTAGAAGTCGTTCCCGTTTATCTGCGCCAGCGCATTGGTAGTTGGAAAGCAGAATTTGCCAATCTTTTAGCAACTGAATTAGAGCTTAACTTATAAAATGCATGCAAATACAAAGAGGCGAAGCGGAGCTTCGCACCACTTGCGATACCACACACAAAGACAACAAAACACACAAAAAAAATGAAAAATGAAATTTTTTGAAAAAAAAAACTTGGTCATCTAAACTGTCATATATCTCGATAGAAGTTCATTCCAGGCAAGCATGCCAGGTACATGATTCTGAATCGGCAACAAAGGAACAAAATTTACTAAAAGAAACAAAGCCGACAATCTTTGAGCAGACAAAAGTTGAGCCGAAACAAATATAGTTTTATAAAAAAAATAAACTTTCAAGTCCCACCTTAAACAAAAGAAAAACCTTTGCACTTTCAGCTACATTGAAATTCTTTCAAGTCCCCTTTGAAAGTAGAATTAATAGCACTTGCACTGTCAACAAAAATGAAAATAGCTGGCAGCAAAAAAATCTGTGATTCGGCAACTAAGCCGACAATCTTTGAGCAGACACCAACTGAACCGAAAAAAAAAAAGATTATGAAAATTAAAAAAAAAAATTTCAAGTCCCTCTGAAATTAGAATGAACAACACTTGCAACTACAATGAAAATTGTCAACAGCAAAAGCAAAATCCGTTGTGTTAAATTTAAATTTTCAAGAAAATGAGCATGTCAGTCAGCAGCATAGTCAGCAAGTGATTTAATTGATTTTGTTTAACTAGTTGTTAAGTAGAAAAAAGTCTATATTCTAGTTTGATAACGCTTTCTAATCGCAAGCCTAAATAAAAACATATTCTTAGGTGCATTAGCATAGATGAAAGCACTTTTAAAATTATTAGAGTTTTAAAATTATTGGAGTATTCAAAACTCAACAACAATTTAACACGACCACTAGTAATTTGATTGAGACTTAGTAAATAGGGTCTTTTTACTTATTCCGCTCAAACTTCACTATTTCAACATCTTGAACTGAAACTATTTTTGCTACAATCTGATTGGCCAGAATTAGCCAATCAAATTTCAGTAACATCTCAAAATGTTTTGTACACAATTTTAAGTCGATTTGTAAATAAGCCGAATTGGCCTAAAATGTAGAATGTTTGGTAACTTCTCAAAATTACTTCAAATTTGCTCCAGAGTTTTACCCAGATTAGAAAAAACACAAAAAACAGCTCCAGGAGAAAAAATGACCACCTTCGGATCTGCTCGATGTTCGGCAATTTTAGAAGTCGGCTTAAGAATAAAGTGATCGCATTTGTATTAAGCAAACCAACCAGTGCCATCAGCATATTGTTCCCAACATTTCTACATTGAATATTACAAAATCGCAAAAATGAGAAATTTGGGAGGAATGAAAAAAAGACCTAATAAATCTAACGAAACTTAAAAAGTTGAAACAAATTAACCATAAATAATGACACAAGTTTTCCGCGAAAAAAAATCTGCAAGTATTTCACAATATATCTGCAACCTGTAGATCCAATCTGCTTAAGAATTCTACCCTAAGGCTTTTTCTCAAAAACGGTCTAGTTCATAGGAACCAAAGAGCATGAATTACTTTTTCGACTAGTAAGAAATATTCAACGAAGCCGAGCTCTACCTACAAACAATAATAAAAAAAAAATCACATTATGAGGTCAATCAATTGTTCACAATGATGCTTATTACTTAAACATTGATAATATGGTTATTTGGTTTCTCAGAAATGTTATACCAAATACCAAGACAGTACCATACAAACAAAACTAATAAAAGCTAATTCTATAAACAAAAACATTTATGCAAAAGATGTTTTTGTTTTCTTGATAGCAAAGCAAACAGAAAAATTTAGGGCAAATAAAAAAACTGTTTTGATTAACAGTTCTATACGTCAACGCTTTAACGCTCAAAATTTTTATCAGGCTTCAAAAGCGTATTGCTTTCAATTTCTCAGAAAGAGAGATTACGGAAAGGTAAGTTACTAGATACAAAATCCGCATATGTTTAACCATTGCTTCGGTTCTTTATAGGGCTGGTTATTCTTTACCATGTATCATAAGGGGGTAGTTAAAAAGATCAAAATGGCATTAAAATATAATATCTGACCTCACGGGATTAGAGGATAAGCAGCACATTTGGCAGCACATTTCTTTGAATTTATATATTAAACACTAACAAGTCTGATTGTTGTGATAATTGTTAGCCTAATTGTTGTGATAAACTTATTAAATAGTTTCAGAGACACAGAATGGATAATTCCCAAATCAACACAGCAGGGAACACTGAGGAACCAGAGACTTTTAGTATTCAAGAAGAAAACAACGCAATCCCTCAGCTCAGATATCAAGACCAAACACCTATTGCGAAATCAACTTCAAAAAGAAGCTGTGCCATACTAAGTCCTCCTGACTTGGCATCCATCTCCGAATCAAATGCCAACATCAATGAAATCATAGAGTCGAGTATCGAAAGTCTTTGAGAAGCAAATCCCTCGAATCATTGAGAAACTGGAAACTACATTAAGCGCAATTTTCAAGTCTTTAATAGGCCAGGGTCTGCAAGATGTCAAAGAAACGGTTCTAAAGGAGGCAAAACAAACAATAGAGCAAGAGGTCAGAAAGTACAGACTAAAAACAGCTTCAGAAGACGAGCTTCTTGAGGGATACAACAGAAGTGATAATGTGAGGATCATTGGAATTCAGGAAGAACGAGGTACAAATGAAAACGGGAGGAGAATATTCGAAGACTATTTCCAAAGCATTGACAAAGTATTGAACGTCGCCAAAGAAGCTGGCGCTGAGATTGAGAAGAGCGATATTTCTATTGCTCACAGATTACCTGGTCGAAATGCAAACTCCCGGCCAATGATAGTGCGCTTCTCCAGACGGATTGCCAAGGTGGAACTGCTGCGCAAGAAGAAAAACCTGAACCAGTCGCAGACTATGCACTCCGTGAAAGTATTCGAAGATCTAACGGCACCGCGATTGAAGTTTTTCAATTTAATGAAACAAGACTCAAGGATTGAATCAGCCTGGACGCGAGAGGGGAACATCTACTACAAGTTTAAAGAAAACCAAAGGAACGCAACAGCTTCAATACAATATAGAAAAGCTTGAGAGTTGTTTTGTAAAACAATAGCAACCAGAATCAAAACCAGTAATATCTACTTCATTCTCTAAAGTTGCTAAAATTTTTCATATGAATGTGAGATCCCTTAATAAACATCATGATGAGTTGGAAGCACTAATAAATAGCCTTGAGTCACCACAGGACGTAGTATGCATTAGTGAAACTTGGTTACAGGAAGATAATAGTGTCAACTGCTTCAAACTTAGTGGTTATAATACTATAATTAAATAATCGAGGAAAGGTATAGGAGGCGGGGTAATGATGCAATTGAAAGATAATGTAACTATTATAGAAGAATTCAACTCAGAACTGGCGGAAAGTATTTCAGTTTTAGTTAAATTAAACAATGAAATTTTCCAAATAATGCTTGTCTACAATCCCCCCAATGATAATAAGTTTACTTTTGTAGACGAATTCGATAAACACCTAGAAGCTATAAGCAACAAAAATTATCGCGCGGTAATATGTGGTGATTTTAATATAAACATCCTTAAGTCGAACAATCTATCTTCTAAATACATTGATGCTGTCGAAAATAATGGTTTCAATCAACTGATAAAGCAACCAACCAGAGTTGGATACAATAGTGAAACTCTTCTAGATCACATGATAGTTAAAGATGTTAATGTAAAAGCAGCCTATGCTCTTGAAAATCAATCATTTTCTGACCACTTTTCGATTATTTTAGAATTAAACACCCAATCATCAAAGAAAATTTGTCCAAAAATTTATCGTGATACAACTTTCTTAAAATCTAAAATACAGATAGAAAAGCTTAATCAAACACTTAAGAACAAATTACACTATAATGACGCTTTAGACCAATCAAAAGGCATTGATGATTTTTTTTTGCGGAATTTCAGTCAACGTTTAGCAGTGTATTAGACAAATACGCACCACTGAAAACCACAAAAACACAAGAGCGGAAATCTAGATCTTTTTCGCTGTCGAATCGTATTAAAAACCTAATCGCAAAACGAAACAGACTTCATAGAACATGGTGTAACAATAAATCTGAAGTTGGTGCCAGGTTGTGTTTTGAAATTGTCCGGAAGAAATGTGAAATTGAGATTAAGAAATATAAAAAGCATTATTACTATGATAAGTTTAGTAAGTGTATTGGTGACTCAAGGCAGATATATAAAATTTTAAATAATTTAAGGGAAATTACAAATACATCAAAAAAAATTGTTTCGATCAATTCCATTAGCGGAAATTGTATCACCGATGAATCGGCAATTGCAAATGAATTTAATGCTCATTTCTCTTCGATTGGCATAAATCTGGCGAAAAACATACCAAACCAGGGAATCACACAATCGTTTGATACACCTAACTTTTGCATGTTCAATTTCCCTGTTACGGAAAGTGAAGTTCACATTATCATTTCTAACCTACAAAATAAAGCTTCATCTGGCGTGGATGGAATCAGTAATCTTGTTTTGAAAGCAAGCCCATTTGCGATTGTACCCATATTAAGGCAACTCATTGAAGTTTCTTTTAAATCTGGCCATTTTCCTATCTGTCTAGCTAGGGCTGTTGTCTATCCATTATATAAGGAAGTTTCTAAACTTGATGTTACAAATTACAGACCAATATCCCTTCTTGTCACCTGGAGCAAGGTTTTTGAGCGAGTAATGTACAACAAAGTATACAATTACTTGAAACGAATTCGTTAAAATACATTAAACAATTTGGTTTTCGCAAAAATCACAGCACAGTCGATGAAATTGCGGAAGTAACAGAAAAACTTCGTTTAGATATGAGCAGGTCGCAAAAATATACTGCTTTTCTTGATTTAAGAAAAACTTTTGATACACTGGATCATCAGATACTATTTCAAAAGTTGCAAATGTATGGGATAGATGGAAAAGATTTAAGTTGGTTCATAAGCTATCTGAAACATCGAAAACAAGTAGTAGAAGTAGGTACAACAAAGTCAACGTGGATGGACTTAAAGTGCGGCGTCCCTCAAGGGTCAATACTAGGACCACTTTTGTTTCTGATATATAATAATGACCTTCCCCAAGTCTGCCAATATAGTGAAGTTTTCCTGTTTGCCGATGATACTAACATAACTGCTTTAAATTGCTCATTTCAACAAAGACTTAGAAGCTGTAGGCAAGTGGTTAATATTAAATAAATTATCCGTGAATATAGATAAAACTGTTCAAGTCTACGTCTCTTCAAATAGTGCTTCCAACCAAAACCTTTATATAAACAAATTACCTTTAAAAAATGCTTCATCTTGCAAGTACCTTGGAATTATTTTGGATGCTAAATTATCTTTCAATACTCATATTGATTTAGTTTGAACTAAGCTTAGAAAACAATGTGAAATTATTTCAAAAATGCGTCATTATGTTCCCAGAGGTACCATACTAAAATACTATGCCTCTAATATTAAACCAATTTTACAATACGGCATTTTAGTGTACGGTTGTACCAGCTATACAAATCTTTTGCCCCTTTTGATGATACAAAAAAAATTATACGCCTAATTTAATTCAAAAGAAATTTTGAAACAATACGGTATGTATTTTTTGACCAAGGAATCTTAACAATCCACGAATTACATGTGTATGAATTTCTAAAATTTGTTTTGAGATCTGTCTCCGGACTTCATTCTGAAGAATTTCTAGATGAACTTTTTAAATTTGAAATACCAACGTATAGGACTAGGAGGGCTAATTCAGAGTTGATAAAAATTCCTAATTTAAAAACCAAAATGCAGAGAATGTCGATAAGTTACAGGGGAACGAAACTTTACAATTTACTTAAACAGAACTTTTTAATGCCCAATGAATTCACTAATTTTTCACAGGCAAATATTCAAAGCGTGGCTCACCGAATTAGAGATCTGTTCATTCTAAGCAACGAAGAACTCATCAAATTTATCTTTTGCCAGAATTAAACTGAATTACTCCTAAAAGATATATTTTTTTTGCATATGATGGATAGATGGAAAATAGATTTAATAATAGGTATTAATAAAAATACCATGGCTGCTCCACGGACCCGAGATTTTTTTTGACGTAATCCCCGGAAAACCTAGTACGACGGACTCTTTGTGAGTTTAGATTACTGAATAAAAGTCTCGGAAAAGTGGCGCATCCATTAAGAATTAAAAAAAAAAACATAAATTTTTTCCAAAATGAGCCGAAATGGCCCGCTGTAGGGGGAACCTGTGCCCAATTTTTTCGTTTTTCCTAAAAATCACTTAGAAATTTCATATTCATGCCCAAGGCTTAAAATGAAAGGAAAAAACTTGTAATTTTTTAGGTAAATATTATAATCAGTTCATTAACATTTGCAACTGTTTTTAAATAAACTAAGTTATGTTGTGTGTTACTTAAAACGGAGATAAATCATGCCATTTCTGAGTAGGCCTTTAGACCCTCTAATGTATGATTTGATATTTCACCTTTTTTTGTTCGTTCTATTTTTGCAAATATGTAGAATTTCACTAGATTTCATAATAATTTGAAACCCAACTAACTACATCATTCATGTTTCTAATATTTTTTGGGGCAGCATTTAGTATCCCTTATGGGATCGTTAGCTGTCCCCTCTTTGATACTGATGTATTTATGCGCAATATGATATGAATTTTCTAGTAACATTGAGAAATTAATTCTTTCTTTTCTTTCTTCTTTCTGATTTGACGGGCCAAATCTCTTTACCAAATCCCCCCCTAATTCAAAAGGAGGTTAAAAAGCACCTATGCTCAACCGTTGATTTAGTTCATTATAGGGGGTGGCAATTCGTTATTAGGTACCAAATCGGGGGGGGGGGGTAATAAAAGAGATCAGACGATCGTTGCATCTATAAAGCCTGATGTAACTCAGTCGCTAACTTTTATTCAGATCAGATCGTTGCAGATAAGATTTAATTGAGAGGAGCCAAGCATAGTTAATCTATTGCCACAGAAAAATCTCTTTTCTCCACGCCAGTCTCAATGATCACGATGCACTGAACTCAAAATTAAAATGAATTCTCATCTGTTTATATTTTTGGCAGGGCTTCCATGTTTTCAAACATATCAAGGGGATAAAAACTTCAAAACATAGCCAACAGACAGTAAAAGATTCACGAACGCAAGGAAACAGAGACTTCATTTCGAATTTTAAAAAAAAATACAGCCTCTAAACTCTTTGAATTTCAAGAACAATTAATGATTGTCACATTTGAAATAAAATTAACCCAAAAATTAGCAGTCGATCACGTTTTTCGTGACCTTTACACTTTCTCTGTACGATGGTGGAGCTTGCCTTTCTTTTAACAAAAGAAATGAGCTGAACTTAATACGAAATCAAAAGTCAAACCGCGAAAAATCTAAATTGAGCGTGAATTTTTTCCTGAAGTAAACATTAAAAAAATTCACACCAAGACATAATCATGACTGTTAGCAAGTTCGCCACCATACAATTCTTTCTTGAGCCGCCCATTAGAAGTGTGGACTATAAGACGCGGCTTCGGTTGAAAGAATGAAAAACAATTGTATAAACTATAAACTATTACAGAAAACTTGAATCTGATGAAACAACGCCACAGAAGCAAGTGAAGATTAAAAACACCGAAAAAAAATTCCGTTGAAAATGGTTTCAAAACAGTTATGAAACGTACGAAAAAAAAACTAAGACCTTTTTCAGCCAACCCTGTTTTTGGCCCGTAATGGGTGTTTATTTCATGTGCTCTTTTTTTCTGCACATCACTATGTAATCTACAAAAATAAACTACTCAAGCCATTACAAGATTAACCACGGCCAACTAATAAGTCTACTCATAGTTTTTAAGACGCAAACTATATGAACATTGCGTAATAACTAAGATCGGAGCCGGAGTTTTCTAAATTTATGATTCTGAAAACAAAATTCAGCGTATCACAAATTAAATTGCAGTTGAAACCAGGCCTCTGCTCCTTCAAATCACTTTTCCAGTAAGCCGACAAAAAAGTAGACAACCGATAGTCCGACGATTCAAGTTTTCTCTGAAAAAAACTCAAATACAGCTAAAGCTGAGCTTCGCATCACTTGAGATACAAAACAAGAAAGCCGCTAAGTCCGAAAAAATCGAAAATTTTGAAAAAACTACATCTATCAAAATGAATCAGAATGGTTTTGAAACAAACATGCATGCCAAGACAATAGATTGTGAAGTTAAAAATACCCTAGCCGAAAGAAAAATCAACAAGAGTTAATACCTCAAAACACAGATACAAAGCGTTTTTGTTCGTCAGGCGAATCATTATGCAGCCAAAGAACCGAAAAGAACCGATATAATATAGGCCGAAACCTATGAAGCCAAAAAAACGGAGCCGAAAAAAATTTAAGACCGCTTGCCCTCAAAATACACACAAACGCCCATACAACCTTTTCAAATTTTCAAAAGACGCAATATGAGTCTATTAAGCCGATTTAAAATAAGCCGAAACTATCAAGAGGAAAAAAGGGAAAAAACCGAAAAATTTGTAGTCATGAAAAACTAATTTCTATTAAGGTTTTTAGCATTTTGTGCAACCTAGAGGGAAGCATTAAAAATTATGTTTCCCTTGAAACAACTCAAACTTAGATCACTAAGCCGATATCATTAGGGCAGAATAAATTTACGAGAAAAAAATACATACGAAGGCAAAGTTAGTAAAATTACAAACAGCAGAAGTAAATTAAAACACTGAAAGCAACTACAATGCGAACAGAAGAAAAAAAATCTACGATGTGGCAACTAAGCCAGCGAAAGATAAGCAGACAAATAATCAGCCGACAATTTTTTCCCGGTTGAAAAAAAAACAGGTCCTCTCATATTCGAACCCAGAACCTTTGCTGTCCCAGGCGTATTCGTTACCTTCAAACCAAAAGTGCCGCAGCCTCAAGGAAATTTGAATTTATTGTGAGCTTGTTCTAAATTTGGCTATTCTGTGAACAAAATTATTTAAGGGAAAAAGTCTAGTACCCGATTGCAATAACCTTGATTATCGCAGTGTAATTAAAAATATTAAAACAGGCTCAGTCGTAAAGAATGTTCACGGAAAAAAGTCCAAATTTTGACTCCATTTTCAAAACCAAAATAAGACGAAGGCTACTTGCGAAACACATAAAAACAGCATAACATGCTAGCAGACAGGAAAGTTAGGTAAACTCCAGTAGAACCGAAAACAAAATTGTTGTTATGCAAAACTTCGAAGTGTAAATCGAGTCTCAGATTTTGACAATTTTGTGCGATTCAGAGGTGAGCATAGAATTTGGGTTTCCCTTGAAACTACTTAGAAGTAGTTCACATAGTCGATAAAACACGGGCCGAAATAGTTTGGACCAAGTGAAACTTTTAAGAGAAACGAAAAAAAAAAACAAGAAAATACGAAGTCAAGGTTAGTAAAACTACAAATTGCAGGAGTAAATCAAAACACCAAAAGTAACTACAATGCAAAATTACGTACAGCAAAAAAAAACGATTATAAGACTAGACAACTAAGCCGACAAAACATGAGCAGAAGAATTTAGATCGACGATTATATTTTAAACAGAATATTTCCCGTTTGAAAAAAAATCATCTCCTGGTCAGGTTGGAACAGTGGACCTTTGCTGTCCCACGCGTATTCGCTACCTCCAGTTTACGTGTGCAGGAGACAATAAGAAATTTGAGCGTATTATTAACCAAGGTAACACCAGGAGATGAGGCTAGATGAGTCCTTCGAACAAAGTTGTTGACAAAAAAAGTAAAGCACTCGAATTGAAATAGCCTTGTTAATCGCAGGGGTGAAAAAAAGGTTGGTCGTTCCTACAATCATTTCCAAGATAAGTCTTGACTTTTATGCTCAATTAACTTGAGCTATTTCTAGAAACCGACTTACCTCGGCAGGGAAAGTTGCTGAAAAGAGAAGAGTTTGTCTTTCATCTTTCGAAGGCATCTCTCGCTCGATGCGCCGGATATCTGGCTCGAATCCCTGGTCCAGCATGCGATCTGCCTCGTCCAGCACTAAGAACTTGACTTTCTTCAGAGACACTTTGCCATCTGATGCAAACCCAATTATCCTGCCTGGTGTGCCTACCAAGATGTCACAGCCCTAAAAAAAGCACATGCCATTTTATTTGCAAAATATTAGGCTTATCTTTCTGATGACCAAATTATGACGCTTTAGATTTTATGATGTTTAGTTTTACACAGAGGCGGAATGGCGCTTAGTACCACGTGCGATACAACACAAACATAGTATGGCGAATTAGACGAAAGAAAATCAGACGGTAGCCGCTAGGTCAAAAAAAAGTAAGAAGAAAATCATAGGGGTTTCGCTTGATTTGTTTTGAATAATATTCAAATTTAGAAAAATATGCCAAAATTTACGAAGATGTAACTAAATCGACATCACTTGAGTCCAACGCCCGTGCGCCGAAAAATAAAGCCGAAGAAAAAAGAATACAAAAATCGGGGTTTTTAAAATTACAACCAGCATGGAAAAAACTTAAAAAGAACGGTTATATTAAATTCCAGTAACCTGAAATATTTCATGTCAATGAAAAGAGATGACGAAATGACTCAGTGATTCTGTTAGACAGGTTGCTAGCCTGAAAAAGGCATTTCCATGAAAGTTTTTCCATTTTTGCTACACACATCTTTCTTCGTAATCCTAATGTATATTCATTGTCAGATACTTAGATACGTATTGGTTGAGGATGCCGTTAACCAAATTCTTAAATACCAAGTTACTTAGAGTTTAGACACTATAAAAGCTGCAAATCGCAAACACCAGCAAAAAACGGCAGGAGTTCTAAAATTGGAAAAAAAAATAGAAAATTTAAAAAAAAGAACCGATACTACGGAGCTCCAATCTATAAGTGCGGACTATAAGTAGCTTGTCCTCGCCATTCATCAAGAGCGCCTTGCCTTGGGCTACTTCATTCTTGAACATTGAAAATAGGGAGGAACTTGGTATTCGGCGGGTGTGTTTTTTCTTTTTTGAAGCTCTTTCACTCGCGATTTCAAAATTAAATCAGAAAAGCTTGCATAAAAGATTTTTAGTTCAATTTCGATCGAACAACGATCGTTAGATGAAAACTTATTATACTTTTACTTTACGGCTTAAAAATTTTCAGAAAACTAATTTTGGATGTTTTACTCAGTGCATCCTTGGCAATGAAAGTTTTCTAAAAACATTTCATAATGAATAAGGCTAGTTTTGAAACAAAACCATGCCGAGACACTAGAATGTGAAATTAGCATCGGAAGATAATTAACCAAGTGGTAACAAATACCTTGGCAGAAACCTTTTAAGCCGAAAAAAATCAACAAGATTTACTACTTATGAAAAGTCCCTGTCGCCCTCAAAACACTCACAAAACATTATTTGCTCGTCAAATGAAACAATATGAGATAACTAAGCCGATATAATATAGCCCGAAACCTAAGAAGCCCAAAAAAAACGGACATAGAAAAATTTGAAAAAAAAAGTTAAAACATATTAAGCCCCCCTCGCCCTGAAAACACAGACACGCACACAAATACTTTTTTCGCGCGTCAAAAGACGCAATTTGAGGCCGATATAATATAGGCCGAAACCTATCAACCCGAAAAAAACAAGGCGATGAAGAAATCGTTGCCTGAAAAAATGTGCATTATAATTTCTATTAAGATGTTTAGCATTTTGTTCAATCCACAGATGCGCAAAAAAAAACGTTTTCAATGAAACAACTGGAAATTAGGTCACTAAGCCGATAAAATATAGGCCGAAATAATTTTGGCAGAATACATATCCGATATCAAGGTTAAAAAATTACAAAGTAACAGCAAAGGTAAACCAGAACAGTAAAAGCACCTATATTGTTGCTTTAGTGTTCTATAAAAGCAACTATACAACTAAAATTCAAATAGGCGATTTTGTTGGATTGTAAAAAAAAAGCGGAAACTAAGCCACCAAAAAGTAAACCGAAAGCGAAAATCATGATAAAAATTTCAACTCCAAATTTATAGGAGTAACACTAATAAGGATGCACAGTGAGAGTAATAAACCAATGAGCTCCAAATATACGACGCACATACTGCATGCATGCCGTGTACTGCATGCTAGCTAAAATCTGTGTACAAAGTTGTTTACGGGAAAAAAGTTTAGTACCCGATTGCAATAACCTTGCTATCGCTAGGGTAAAATTATTTTAATGAATATGGTCGTGACACTCTGTGCTACTTGCACAGCAGCAAACTATCCTTGTTTAATATACATATAGCTGGATCCCATGTAGTGTAATTAACGCGAAAAGTTTTAATTAACACTTAAATGTGTGACTTCAGTTGGAAAAAAAGTTGACTGACTGTACAGCGAGTGCAATCACCGTAGAGTACACACTTCTCAGAAAAACACCTTGAAAACTTCACTTACTTTTCTGAGTTGGCTCAGATGATGCAAGACATTGACGCCTCCGTATATCACAACACTCTTAATGATGGTTCCGTGACACAATTTCTTCGCCTCTGTTTCAATTTGACAAGCTAATTCCCTAGTGGGTGCAATAACGAGTGCTTTAGGTTCCTGAACATCCATCATGCCGTCTCCTAGTTCCCCAGCCTCGAAAATCTTGCTGATGATAGGAAGCAAGAATGCGGCAGTTTTCCCAGATCCGGTCTGAGCACACGCCATGATGTCGCGTCCATCGAGAGCATTTGGGATCGCGTTCTTCTGAATTGGAGTAGGCGTAGTATAATTCGATTTTCTCAAGTTGTTCATAATTCCAGGCGACAGCCTTGCTTCATCGAACCGCACGATTGCCTGGGACGGATTGACTCCCGACACTTTAACAGGTATTTTATCATATTTTTCAAAATTTATACCGTGGTGGGTACTCCTGAAAAGACTCTCCTCAGTGATATTATCATCTGGAACATAGGTTACAGGTCCGGGTTGTCCTTCTGGCCTCGGAACGACGAAGCACGTATCTGTTTTGGGAGCATTGCATTTATGGCAATCCTCGCGTCGCGCAAAGTTTTTCGCTTGACAACCTTCGCATGTCCAATCGCCGGGTCGACCTTCATTTTCACCTCCACCACCGCCGCCAAAACCACCTCCTCCAGTCCCTTCGGGTTTGTTTGCTCCACAATTTTTACAGTTAGAACGACTGGCGAAATTTTTGAAGTCGCAGCCACCACAAGCCCAGTCTCCTGGTCTGCCACTGCTAGATCCAAAATCTGCGGAACTACCGCCGCCTCCAGAGCTTTTACCTCCAAAACCGCCACCTCCCGAGCTGCCCCCGAAGCCGCCGCCACCACCCGAGCTGCCACCGAAGCCGCCACCACCACCCGAGCTGCCGCCGAAGCCGCCGCCACCACCCGAGCTGCCACCGAAGCCGCCCGAACTGCCCCCGAAGCCGCCGCCACCACCGGAACTGCCACCGTCACCGCCACCGAAGCCACCACCACTCGAGCTGCCGCCGAAGCCGCCACCACCGCCCGAGCTGCCACCGAAGCCACCGCCACCGCCCGAACTGCCCCCGAAGCCGCCGCCACCACCCGAATTGCCACCGTAACCACCTGATCTGGCTCCCTGGCTTCCACCTCCAAATCGGCCACCTCTGTCACCACCAGCAGATTCCGGTTTCTCAACATCGCAATCTCTACAAGTTGTTCTTCTAGCAAAATTATTTGAGCCACAAGAACATGTCCAGTCACCTGGTCTGGCTCCCTGGCTTCCACCTCCAAACGAACTCCCGCCGACACCAGCTGGTCGATCGGTATTACACCTTCGACAGGTTCTTCTGCTCATAAAATTAGTCCCACCACAAGAACAAGTCCATTCCTCTTTCTTCTCGCCGTCTCCTCCAAAACCACCCCCAGATGAATTGAATCCCCCTCCTCCGGTAGACGACCCAAAGCCTCCTCCGGTAGAGGAGCCAAAGCCTCCTCCGGTAGACGAGCCAAAGCCTCCTCCGGTAGACGAGCCAAAGCCTCCTCCGGTAGACGAGCCAAAGCCACCTCCGGTAGACGAGCCAAAGCCACCTCCGGCAGAGGAACCAAAGCCCCCTCCGGCAGAGGAACCAAAGCCCCCTCCCCCAGAGGAACCAAAGCCCCCTCCACCAGAGGAACCAAAGCCCCCTCCACCAGAGGAACCAAAGCCCCCTCCACCAGAGGACCCAAAGCCCCCTCCACCAGAGGAACCAAAGCCCCCTCCACCAGAGGACCCAAAACTACGTCCACTTGATCCAGAAAGTCCTTCAGGTCTTGGGTCGTTGCACTTCCTACAATTCCTTTTTGACATGAAATTGGGCGTATTACAACCTTGGCAATTCCATTCTTCTCTCGGTGGTTGTGAGTCATCGCCTCCTATGCCTATTGGTCTGGGTTCATTGCATTTTCTACAATTTCTCTTCGACAAAAAGTTTCTTGTGCTACAAGAAGAGCAATTCCATTGTTCGTCGTTTCTACGGTCATTTCCGCCAGAGCCATTAAAACCCCCGCCTCTGGAATCTCCAAAACCTCCGCCAAAACCACCTGAATTTCCAAATCCGTTCGACTTGCCACCAAAGCCACCAGAATTTTTGCTGCCTCTTTCAGATTCGGGTTTCCAAACGAAATTTGAATTTTCGTCTTCGTCGTCCCAGGACATTATCACAACTGAAAATATTATTGTTCCGACCATTGAAAATGGAGAAGAATTTTGTATTCGAGTGTGTTTCAGTTTTTTTATATCCAAGAAAAGTCAGCTACCACAAATAAACTTCGGACTGGGTTGAGTGATATCATATTAAAGCTCTTTTAATCGTGATTCGAAAATTTAAATTTTTTTCCCGGGGTCGATAAAAACCGGTTCGAAATTTTAGATTTTTCGTCTAATTTCGAGCAAGTGAGCAGGCGTACATTAGCTTATGTATGCTTAGTTAAAGCCTTAATCAATGCTGAGTGAAAATTTATTTTTACTCACTTGAAGTTTTTGGTAAATTAAAAAATTTAATTTTTTGTTTGATTTTTTTCTTGTTATTTGTCTTCAAAAATTGTTTTTCAATTTGAATATTTTACAATGACTGACGAAAATGCCTAAGCTCTACTTTTCTGCTCAGATTCCTTTACCACACCACGCCGAAAAAACGACAATATTTTGAAAAAATTACTTTGTAATTTTTAAAGACTGGTCGGAACATTCTGTTCTACTTAGCAGTAACCGGCTATCCTTGTTAGGCTTCGCACTTGAAACAATTTTTTCACATTTTCTTCTTAATTTTTTCCTGGGTTCAAGAGTAATCGGGATTAATGAGAAACTTAGTTAGTCCTCGAGTTTGTGATATAAATGCAAAAGTCCTAAAGGCGAAGTTGAGCTCCAAAAATTGCACAGATAGCAAGCCTGCCATTTACACTTTGTGATAAGCTTGTAAACTGTCAAGGTTTGTGAAAAATATTTTCCTGCAAACTGAAATACAGCATCTGTCAGGCTTGAGATGTTTATACTCATGTCTTATTGAATGATTTATTCGCTTTTTTTATTGTTGTTGTTGTTGTTGTTGTTGTTGTTGTTGTTGGGGATTCACAGCACTGCTGTTGGGAGTCTTGGTCCCGGCGTCTTCTCTAAAACAATGTCCACTTGTTTCTGCACGTGATACAATCACAGAATAATTGCCACGTGCACGTTGTCATTTCTGAAAATCTCTCGTTTACAAATTTCCACATCGTGTTTAAAATTCTCGTCTTGAGGCCGATTCGTTTATCAAAATGAATATATGGTTCTAATCGATTTACAATCCTACTGGTTCTGAAAACAAATTCGTTTCTCGCTTTTTCCGTTCTCACTTTTCGCATCTCAAAAATTTCTATATTTCTAGCCCGTGTGGTTCGCCTGTTTAACACTATTTCATTTCGTTCATTAGAATCAAGACTGGCAAGAAGTAAGATGTTATTTAGCTGGATGAACATGGGCAGGGGTAAAATGTTTAGCAAGCGTAGTTCGTTGATGTACACTCCCGTTTTATTTCCAGTGATCCACCGGATTGCTTTCTTTTGAAATCGCTCCAACTGCAATTGATCCCCCCTCGATATATGTGTACATGAGAGTCCGTATAATAACACTGGGAGTATTAGTGACTTATACAGGCCTAACTTTACAAACGTATTTATCTTTGCTGATAGGTTTCTTCTCAGGAGGTACAGTACTTGGTTTGCCTTCTTTAATCTTGTTTCAATGTGTACCTTCCAACTTAAATCGCCCGACACAAAAATTCCCAGATCTTTCACAACCATCGATGTTCCAAGCACTACATCAAAAAGCATAGAGTTGGCGTCTCCGCCCCTAAAACTTACTTTTGCACATTTATCTAGTGCTAATTCCATTTTGTTTTCAGTTACCCACTGCTGAATTTTGTCCAGATCTTCTTGAATTTCAATTGATGTTTTTTTGATGGAAAGTAGTTTAAGATCATCCGCAAAAATATATGGTTCAGAGAATTTGAGTACTTCAGGTAGGTCGTTAATAAAAATGCAAAAGAGCAGTGGTCCTAAAAGTGATCCTTGGGGAACACCACTAGTGACTTCTAAAACTTTTGAGCTGATATTGTCTACTCGTACAAACTGTTTCCTGTTTTTCAAATAGTCATAGAGTACCTCTAACATGCAGCCTCCTATTCCTATAAGTGCAACTTTCTTGAGTAGATCAAAATGCGGAACTTTATCAAAGGCTTTTGCAAAGTCAGTGTAGACTGCTACAATTTTTGCGTTTGAGTCATTGTCAAGCGCTTCATATATTTCTTTCAGGAAGGAGAGCATGTTTGTCAAAACTGATCTACCTTTAGTAAAACCGTGTTGATGTTTCGTCAAATACCAGGCAAAGTAAGGGTACAGGTCTTTGTATATACATTTTTCAAGGACTTTGCTGTCAATATTTAATAGCGATACTGGTCGATAGTTGTTCACCAATTTTCGGTCACCTTTTTTGTGAACAGGAGTAACTGCAGCTGTTTTCCATGAATCAGGTATTTTTCGTAGGCGTTTTACGTTTCTCAAAATTTTGTTCATCGGTTTGCATATATTGCGGTTCGTTTTCTGAAAAAAGCTAGGTGGCAACCCATTTGGGCCGCGTGACTTTGTTACGTCCAGAGTTGATAAAATCTCACTTACTGTCTTTTTCGATATATCAAAATTCGTTAACAAGGGATTTCCAAATTGAATATCTCTAATACTAAAACTTTCTTTAGGATTAAAAACTGAATGAAAGAAGTCGTTTAGCATGTTGACTTGTTCGTTTGGATTTGTGCTTTCAACTTCATCTTTTATGAGTAACTTAGGAAGACTTGTATGTTTATTCAAGTTCTTTAGGTGTTTAAAAATTACATTAGTGTTCCGTGTTCTAAACAATTCCTCTTGGTAGTTTTTCCTGTCCACTTCCGATGATTCAGTTACTAAATTTTCAAACAGTTTAACTTGTTGTCTTCTGTAGTTGGTCGGTTTGAGTATACATGATTGCCGTTTTGTTTGTAACTTTTTGATCAAATTTGAAGTGCTACTTGTTATCCAAGGTGGAAGTGATTGCCTATGTCTTGTTCTGAGAGGCACAAAACTCTTAATGATTTCATCCAAATATTGGGTGTACTCCTCATGCATTTTGTTAATGTTTGTGTGGCATACTGGTTCAAATGGGTTCTCGTTTATAAAATTGTTTATTCCTTCAAAATCGGCATTTCCAAAACTTCTAAAATTTTCCAAGTATGGTTTCGGCTCTGATACCGTGCATTCAATAGACAACATTATGGCATTGTGATCTGAGCAGTCATAAATCTTGGAAACGTTAAAATCTTGTTCGGCACTTGTATAGCAATTCCGATAGAAGGCTACGTCTAGTATGTTCTTCACACATGTTGGGAAATCTATCGCCTGCCTAAAGAGTCCATTTTCAAAAATTTGCAGTATTTGGTTTTCTTCCTCGTCAGTACTGGTGAGGGTGTTCCAGTTTGTTTCTGGGAAATTTAAATCCCCACATAAGAGAAACGGTTTGTTTTTAGGAATGGCTTTGATCAGTTGTTCAAATTCATGCACTTTGTATCTGTAATTACTGTTTTTTGGCGGATTGTAGAATGAGCCAATTATCATTTCAGTTTGATGAAGTTTTATACTACATAGCACACATGAATCAGGAATGTCATGTTTGGTGGATAAGTCCTCGGTAATTAGACTATTCTTGACAGCTATTAGGCTGCCTCCGTGACAGTTTTTACCACTCACAATAGCTCTATCAGATCTATAGATGTTATATTCACTTAGAAAAAGCTCTGATGATTGAATATTCTCGTTAAGCCAAGTTTCGCTTAAGCATATGACATTAAAATTTCCAACTGCAATTGCATTTGCTAGCTTAGTTCTTCTCTCTATGTTGATTAGGCTTCTAGTATTTAGTTGCAGAATGTTGAGGAATCCTAGTCAATGCTGGGGTTCCTGAACTTCAGTGTCAATAGTTACTTTCACACCATCATTGAACAATTCTAGATTCCTTATTTTCAGCTTTTCGCGAGGAACGCCTTCATCTAGTAGTTGTCTTCGTTTCTTAAGGATTTCGTTCTCTTTAATTGCACTCTCTTTGGTCAATGCTGGTAGCAGGTAGACCTCTTTTTCGACCAATTGTTCTCGCTTTTCTCGGCTTTTTGCTAGTACTAGTCGTGCTTCATGTTCGCTAG